CCTTGTCATCAGGATACGAACCCGAGTTCTAACTCGAGGACGTTTAGCCGGAGCAACTTAAGTCTTCTGGCGCATTGATTGGAGCTGGACTCAAGCAAGTTGCTTTGATCACCGATGGTCGTTACTCTGGTGCCTCGCACGGGTTTAGTAAGTTATAACGATCGATATCAAACCCCTCCCAAGACAAACAGCTAACGATTGCTTTTTTTGCTTATAGTCGTTGGCCATAGTACGTACACGATCCAAGAACTAGAGGCTGTTTGTGTTTGCTAACATCATCCCCACAGTTGTCCCAGAAGCCCAGACGGGCGGCCCAATTGCCATTGTCCAAGGTATGCTCTTTGCAGCCCTTCACTTTGATATACTCTAACCACGATCACAGACGGAGACGTAATCACTATCGATGCCGTCAACAACATCATCAATATGAAAGTTTCTGACGAAGAAATCGCATCCCGTCTCTCAAAATGGAAGGCTCCAAAACTCAAGGTCAACCGCGGCCACCTCGCCAAATACGCCCGACTCGTCTCGGACGCGAGCCGTGGTGCCGTTCTCGACGCCTTTGATGACTAACCACTCATAGCAGAGTATTCTATTTTATCACGGATGCATAATGTCCCTTTTTCTTTTCTCTTCTACGAGCTTTTGATATGAAGGATTCTAGATAATGGTTAGCTTGCATAGCAATTGGTGCGAGATAGACGTGAAATTGAATGCTTTCAATAGAAATCATAGGTTTTCGCATTAAATCAGATCAGAGTTCGGAAATACAGTGACTTATGGACGAGTTCGGCTTCACATGATCCGAAAGGGTTTTCAAATATCCCACCGCTTACTTTTCAAATCCTGTATTTTCGGGGTTTCTAGAGTTCTCCAACCTCGCCCACCGCCTCCACTTCGCCCTTACATTATCATAATATTTCCTCATAATTGCTCCAGCATCTAACAACATAGCTTGCCTGAATAAGTCATGAAATTTCGAAATGGTAACTGTTGATGCGAGTGAGCGCCTTGATATAATTATAAGTGAGCATGGTAGCAGATAGTGCACTAGTAACAGGATAGCGACCGATGGCTTCTAGCGGTAGAGTGCGATTAATTAATTAATACATATTGCGGCCCCGCCGAAGTATTAAAGGCTGGTATAGAAGGTGGGGAATATTTTGGTATACTGAGATATTCTATGCGAGGAAACGGTAACTTTGAATACCAGGAAATTTCCTGAAAAAGTACAACGTATATTTACAAATGAAAGGCTTACAGAAAAAAGGAAAAGAATGATATGCATAACGGGACACCTTGTTCGACGAGTCAGGGCATTATACAAGTCTACAGTCTAGATCTCGTGACCAGAAAGTCTGGGTTCCTTGGTTTTTAACTAGAAGTACTTCGAAATGACTTCTACCAGCAAACCGGGGAAAAAAGAAAGGTATTTGGAGCTCGAAGTTTTATTCAAGGTTTTCCCTAACCATGTAATAATGTGATCGCTGTTCGGATGTCACCCTTAACACCTATCTTGTACCGACCGTGCCAATACTGAATTTTGTAATCATACAATCGCGATCATCAGAAGATAGAAATGAAGAAAGTATGTTGCATTTCCTGTTTTTGGTTCCCGATCTGGAAGTCAATGCGGGGGTCGAACCCGCAGCCCCCAAGCTGCAGGTCGCCGCCCTTCGAGAACGTGTGTGCGAATCGGCGGGTGAAATTCGCGATCGTGATAAGGTGCTTCTAACAATAGCAAACGGTTCAAAAGACGACATCGACAACACCGACCCCACCAGGGTTCCAGACCTTGGCTTTATGGCTATACCCCCGTTGACGACATGTCGGAACTCGCCAACCCAACAAAAGTAGGGCATGGAGTGTGGGCCAAAAATCCTCCCTCTCTCACAAGCCTGCTAGTTCATTGGTATGGTAGGGCCCGAAAGTCATTACAAGCTTTGGCCTCCGGTTATTCTAGCATGCGCAAGACAAGGCAGCCAGCGTAAACTTCCTTATGCTCACAATATTTTCCAGATAGAGACGCGATTTCACTAGGGCGCAGTTTGATGGTACTAATTCCTGGCTGGGAAGCTTAGCTTAGCTTAGTCTTGGGTCTGCGAACTCCTTCGCTCGAGATTTCTTAGTCTCGTAAGTTTTTCCTCGCTGTTGTGGATTAGTATGCAGGATCAAAAGATGTCGATATAACTTCCAATCTAGGGCCCAAATAGCGAGGGGAGCAGTTCGCTCGTTCGTGGTCCGTTTAATATATCGGTCAGTCGACGGTGTTTGCGGCTGAGTCGCATGTTTGATCTGATCTCCACACCACCCCTTCTCTTTCGACGAACTTGTTCGCTAACGTTATGAGGCTCCCCTGGTCCCCGTCGACCAACTTTTTTTTTGCTCAAGACCCAAAATGCAGGTCTATCGACAAGGGTGCGATGACAAATTTAAATTTAAACCCACACAGCCATACATACATTGCAGTGCGAAAAAATGCTATGGTTCTCTCCCGTCTTTTGATTCATGATTTTAAAGTTGTGTGCAAAGTAGCGAAGGTATCACCAGGCAGAGCACAGAGCAAGGTGAAACAACAAGGCATCTTAGTCACCCGCGCATCACTACTCAGTGCAGATCCAGCTAAACGCATCTGCTATGGATGGCGCCCTTACGAAAGAATCCCGAGGTGTGTCTGGGGAGGCTTAGAAAGATACTTTCCTCTTGGCTCGTGACGCACGAAATCGCGCGAAAGCTGTTACTAAGAGGTCCCCACTTTGGAGCTATCTTTTGCGAATCCCTGGTCTTCCTGTCCCAAAAGCGGGATAAATGCGAGTTGGGATGCATGGTCCTGTAATTCACACAGAGAAGCTTTATATCTTGAGGGGTCACTGCATGTCGCACGAAAGAGAAATAGATTTTCCCTCAGGCAAAAAAAAAAGTCGAAGCACATAGATCAAAGACAAGGTTGCACTATTTAATAAACCAGAGCCTATCCTCGTCCTAAAATTTGGTTCCTGATTCTTATCCTCGGGTCTTTGTGCACTACTCCAACCTAGTTTCGGCTACTATCACGCCCTCAACGCAGTCGAAGTACTTCGAAGTTACCGTAGAAAACACCTAGTCAATATGGCGCCCAGAAGAGGGGGTGGTGGTGGCAGTAGTAGCGGTGGCTCTATCGATAATCAGTGCAGCGACTATGGTGCTTTCAGCAGCGACTACGCAAAAGCTCAAATCGGCTTAATGGGCGGGTTTTTATTCTTGTTTTTGGTATTAGCATACTGCACAGCGAGTCGAAGCGGGAAGAGAAAGAAGGCTGGTCAGGAGAAGTCGATATTGAGGTGGTACCAATACGGAATTGCTTTGTTCTTAATCATTGCGTAAGTATTTTTCTCGATATCTTCTTGGAACAATGACTAACAGTGCGCAGCTTGTTTATCATGCTTATCGTTCGTTACTCGCTCATCCAATGCGGCGTGCTTTATACCTACGGCTACGATTCTACAGCTATCGGCACCGCAACAGTAGTCGTTAATAATGTTGCCGAGTTGTTCATGCTCGGCATCGTCCTTTTTGTCGTCGTCAAGCGTCTGTTCCAGCTCGCCGGCTCGACAGCTCTCAAGCGAACATTCCTCGTCCTTAGCGCTATCTTCTTCGCCATTGTCTCGATAGTATTCGTGGCATACATCGTTCTTTACGGGTTGATTGAATGGGGGGTTTCGGCCGCCTCGACCAGGCCAGCAGTCCTAGCGTATGCAAGGCTTGTGCAAGCCTACGTCGTACTTTTCGCGCTCCTCGCAATCTTTGCGGTTGTCGGGCTGATTTTGGCGTGGATTCGGGTGGGGAGGAAGACAGAACGAAAGCAGGTGCGTACTAATTCCCTGCAAGACTATCCCATAAAATTGGATGACTAAAACTAAGTTGTAACTGCAGGGTGTCACAAGCTGGATTCCGGTCTTGATAATTTGCCTCCTTGGTTATTCTTTCTACAATGTCATCATTGTTTTCATCGCATACTACAGCAATGGCATCACTCAAATTGGCAGCCTTGTCGGCTACGGCCTCTCGCTGCTTTGGTTCTTCGGCGCCTACTTCTCGATTTTTATGATCGCTCGCGGTAAAGGCTGGGACTTCCTTCGACTGCCTCAGGATATTCAGCCTCAGTACCCGCCGCCGATGTCTCCCTATGGCCAAACCCCATATGATACCATGCAGAGCCCCGACGCCGCAAAGCGGATGAGCTATGCATCGCATGGAAACGCGCCAACCCCGGCGCCACCTTACATGGGAGGCACGGGAATGGCCTACAGCGGTAACGGTGTCTACGAGCAACAAGGGCAGACATATGGAAGCGGTGGGTGGGGCACTAGTGGATATGCACCAGTTGGGCAGATGCCCACGGCTTACAGTGCACCGATGGGAGCGGCAAGTCGGGATGCGGAGCATACCGAATTGACGGGAAGGAGATAGAGTAAGATTGGGAAAACGCGGTTAATGAACTCAATTGTATTTGGTAATGAGCGAAGAATTTCCTTGTATATCGTTCGATGATATCCCTTTTTTCCTTTCTTGTTTCATCGGTTTCCTTAGAGTCGGATATCTTCAAGTTGGTTTAAAAATTTCCTTTCAGAGGTCGTTGGTTGCTTATGTGCATTCTCATCGATGGGACGACGTTAGTCGCTCCCTTTCCCCCTTCTCGTCTTTCCTTCTCTCTTTTCCTCTTACATACATATATAAATATACTATTCGATATCTGGAGTGGGGTGAATATATACGGTACGATACTAGGATGAAGAAAATATCAGAATGTTACAAGTTGGGAAATTATACTGAGCCGTGCTTTGATGTCAATCCTTCACCGTTGAGTCTAAAAATGCAAAACCAATGCCCCCAATCTATTCTAACATATGAAGAATTGTTAGGAAGGAAAGTTAGGGTGCACGCATCGAATAGGGCCATTGGTTACGACTCGGAGACTATAGAGCAATATAAGAGACATCTCAAACCTCATCTCCAACAAAGCCCGGTTAGCTCAATCGGTAGAGCGTAAGACTCTTAGATCACAGGATTCAATTCCGACATCAATGGCATCTTAAGGCTGCGGGTTCGACCCCCGCATCGGGCTTCTCAAGCTTCCTTTCTTCAAAGGAAGTCATTTCTTTTTGTTCTTTTGCTGTTCCTTTTAGCTTTGCCAAAGTTTTCGACGTTTAAAGTTGACGAAGCGGGAAGGAGCAGAGTTTTTTTTTTTCGTGTTGTTTTCCTGAGTCAAATTATGTGTTCTTTGACTCGCTTTAATCCTTGTTGGCGTAGGCTCTAACCGTAGACGGGTTTGGGAGCTCTTGGGAGCCCTTGATCGATTTGGGGCTTCGGAAAACTTTTACTTTTGATTGTGAAAATTTGCTAAGATTTCAACATGGGTTGTAATATGTTATAGTGAATGCGATACAGCATCGAATCTAGGGGCACTAATTGCAAAACCTTGAACTGTATAGCTTTGTAGCCGATAGCTTTCAACCGTCGGCTCTTAACTATTGGTGGAGAGATATCTCCTCGAAGTGATGCAGGGGTTGTGGTAGCTATCTAGCGCTATGCAGTAGCTAAGCTATGCAGCTAACAGCCATGTTGCACATGCACCGATGGCCTGCACCGGATCGACGACAGTTACACAGGCACAACTCCGCTGATCCAAACAACACAAAATATACAACAAAAATCCAGATGTCGGATCGTAGACATAATCGCTGTATAATAAACTGCAATCCTGCCCCTTCTGTTAGGGACCCGAATCCCTCATGCCATCGGGGCTCTGTGGGACCATCTATCTCCGTTCCCTTGCTCTTGTCTTCTCCTCCCCGTCTGATAATATATTACATTATCTCGTAGCTTGGCAATTGGAAAACGACGGCTTCACCACAAGGATGGCACCGAGAAGATTAGGCACTCGACCCCAGGGAAGCGTTACAAACGGCGCTACCGGTTCTGCTCCCACAACCCCTGCTCGCCGTGGTAGAGGTAGACCCCCGGGATCTCGATCGCGATCTCGCAGCGGAACATCTGTGTCCCCGATCCGTAGACGCGGACGCCCAGCAAGAGCTGGATCCCGGTCAGGTAGTACAAGCTCTGTCTCTCTCTCACCGATTCGGAGGCGTGGCAGGCCGCCTAGCTCCCGTAATCGTGATGGAGAAAGCACTATTACCCAGCCTAGAGATCGAGAGGACGCACATGTGCACCATAACAATATTCCTATCGCTAGCCCACTTCCGCAGGCTAGCTTCTCAGTCGAACTTAATTGGCTGAGGCACTTCGACGAGGGGAGTCTAGTAGGACCGTCGCAGAGTTCTGCTATCCGTCATATTATCCACCGGTATCCAACTAGGCTCAATCGGAGTACGGAAAATGTCGAGCGGATGGTTAATCAGATGTTTGAGGATATGCACGCAAATGGTAAGAAGCCTATGTATTCCGTATAACAAAATAGTAGGAATTAGAGCCCCAGAATATATTAACTCAGTGTCTTAGACCTTAACAGGATCTCGGAGAATTTATCACAGATCAATCTTAACCAAGGCCTGGTGCTCTCCACTAATGATTTACCACGGCCATGCACTCTCGGCTCGCAATCGCCCAGCCTGGGAACCCGATTAGCGCGTTCTTTGGATCCTTCTTTTCAGAATCTCGGGCCTTTCGTTGGCCCTTCAAATGGAGGTCCGGCCAGTGAACCACAACAATCATCTTCTCAGCCACCGATACTCCCACAGACGCCTCCTATCTCTTCAGGGCTACCAATGACCTCATCGCCAGAGGGAACACGGAATTCGTCGCCGGATCTAGAAGCAAATTTGTCACTAGATTTGGCACCCGCTCCTGATGACCCGGACTGGCAGCTGGTCCAAAGCAACCTCGTCGATACCCAACCGGCCAATAGTATTGATACGCTCCTGAGATCATCTGGGTCCGTATGGGATCCATCTAGCAGCACTATGAGTTCAAATTGCGTTCAGTGTTCCGAAATAACAGGGTATGTCTGCGATTGGTGTTCAATGTCCTTCAATAATGGAGTTGGAAGTGAGTTAGAAGGTTGGATGGCGGGATATATGCGTTTTATCAAGTGTTTTCACTGTAGCATGGTTTGGGGTTGTTGGTGTAGAAGGGAAACTGAGGATTTCACATGGCAGGTGTCGGAACTGTAGGTAATCACCGAATTCTGACTCTTTTGAGGCGCTCGATGTGTGGTGTTGTGATATTTTTGGGTGCATTGGGATGGAAAATTTTGAGTCCTTGCTTCGTGCTTAGTCTCATAACGAGCTACTGTATAATAATGAATTGGTATTGAGTTTCTAGGTTAACGCACTGAAGATCTTAACTAGCCGCTGATAACATTGGGTATCGTATAAATGTGATCTCAAATTAGAGAATAGTCAAATCAAATCCATCTAATCTACTATTCCTATCGAATCCCAGATTCGTTAGAACAGTCCGGCCATATGCATTCGCCTATATATACGGATGCATAAGGCCCTTTCGGAGTTAGTTCTATCTCATTTAACCCCAATCCTCCTCCCTCTGTCCAAAATTTTGAATAACCATCCGGGTTCTAGCGTCTTATTCTTTCCTGGAACTTCCTGCTCCCAACATGGCACAAAAGGCTCCTCATCCTCGTCCTCTTCTTCTTCCTGTTTCTTTAAACTTTCTCTCTGGTAAGCCTCAAGCCACTTTTCCTTTTCTTCCGTCTGCTGTTCTTCTATTCTTTCCTTTCTAAGGGCCATCATTAGGGCTCCATCAGTAGCAACCTCCCAGTTTTCGGAAAGGCGCTTGTTAATTGCCAATTCTCCTCTTTGCAACTTCGACAACTTTAAATAAGGAAGGATTGGAGTTAGATGGTCGATATCAGATGCTGTTGTGGAGACGGTGGATTTTGAGGTAGAGGCGGAAATTGAAGATACACTCGAAGGCATTTTAAAGAATCGAATAAAAGGTGGCAAGAATAAACTCATATCCTAACGGGGGGAATTGAATATGATCCTTGAGCAGAACTTGCTCATTCAATCGAGCGTTGTGGCTATAAGCAAACGGTTGGGTTTGGATGATGAAGGTGGAGGAGGAAGGAACTGGGAGTGTTACAGAGAGGATCATAAGCCAGAGTATTCAACCCTTTTGGAAATTAATTATGATAGACAGTGGGAATTTATTCATGATCGTCTATAAAAATGCCGTATGTTGAAGCCTTGTAGATCCGGTTTGAAGATATTCGGTCCACGCTACTATTCCCACGTGGTGGAAGGCATCATCATCCATATTAAAATTTAACTCCCACACAACTAAGAATTGCATAGGCACAACTAACTTCCCCACCGTCCCTAAAACTAACTTGTGTATGTATATATAGCTGGAACATTACCACCAAATCCTCACAATCCTCCCCAACGCCTTGCAGTCCTCCCCTCTGGATCCCTCTTCGCCTGATCATCTAGGTACACGTTCCTCACCACCAAATACATATTATACGCCCCACCGTCCCTCCAAGCCGACACCATAACCCACTGGCTCCCTTCTTGCTTATCCTTCGTATTCAAACACTCTAGAACATCCCGGAAAAACTGAAATTGAACAATCCCAAGTTTTTGAATCTCTTGAGGGTCTAGAAGACAATTGAATGCTGATTTTTCGTCTATGGGGAGCCATACTGCGTTGGCTGATCGGATAGTTTTTTCATTCATACTTAGGGCGATCAGATACGCCGGCGCGGGGCGTTTCTCGGGGTCGTTGACGAGATTCTCGATATACTGCTCCATGCTGTTTAATTTCTTTCGGCCTTTTTTTCACCGCTTTATATCATCTTTGGTGGGTATTCGGCCCCAAAGTTTGAGATTCTAGCAACGTACCTCAAGAAACTTGGGCCTAGTTAATAGCAAACCTAGTTTTCGATAGGCGACGAGAAGTATCGAATTCGCTCGCTGAGTATGACGAGTCTTCGAACACTATGGATGGAGTAGAAGTGCGATAAGTGCAATGCCTGCACGAAATTATCTTAGGGCTGGACCATCTCCTCTTCTATAAACGAACGTGATATACGAGCATGGCGATAGATGTGGTACTATATAGTACCCCGCATATCGATATAAGCGACTTGAATTCTCGGTAGAACCTGATTACCGCCGTAGCCATTACTTTGCCACTAGCTGTTAAATTCCCTCCCTGCCAGTGAGCACTAAGAACCGTATACAACTTGAAAGATCCACATTCCATCATTATATCTTACATGAGCGAACGATTTTGCCAGGACGAGACCAAAGTCCGTATATCTATCTCGTAAATTCTTTCTTTCTTTTAATTACATTCACATCGTGATATCGAGGGCTTTAAATGGACCAAACGGTCTCAGCCAAAAAGAGAAACTTTTCCATATCCCACCTCCCAAAGCACACATAACCTACAAGCTCCGCCCGAATAAAACTCAAAGAAATATCATAATCTAGAAATATGTACAATAAAGGCGCAAGGTACGAATAGCCCTTGGGATCATTACCAGGGAATGACTTCCATGGATCAGTGTACTGGGCTAATTGCCCACTACCACCTCTTTTCTAGGAATACAACCTCTTCTCAAAGCTGTGAAGGCCATGGACGTTTCCTTCCATCTGGGCACTGGCAGTTCGGATCTCGAATCTGACAGTTCCAGCCCTAACACCTGCCTTCAATTCAGCCACGGATTTAACGCCGATGTCCTGCAGCGAGTGCTGCAGGCCAGCTTGGAGATATGGTACAAATTTTGTCACAGACCTAGAAAGACGAGGTATTAGCATTATACCCCCAGAATCCCAATCAGGAAGGGGTAAACTTACCCTCTATCGGCAACACTGCCGCTAACACCCTGCGCAACAAAAATCTTATCTGCCTCGCTGAAATACCTTCCTGTAGCCGCGTTCTCGCCCGTCTTCTGGCTTTCCATGGCATCAATACTTCCCATCCCTCGATAAGCCTTAACCAACTGCCCCTTCTCGCTCAAAAAGTACTTTCCAGGGCTCTCCGTCGTACCAGCCAACAGACCACCCATCATAACGGTGCTAGCACCTAAAGCCAATCCCTTGACAATGTGTCCAACATTCTGAACCCCGCCATCAGCGA